AATTCATAATTATATGGAAATACCTTATTCCAAGTAATCTTCCTCAAACTTCCTATACATCAGAGTCAAGACCATGGAGAACATTAAATGCTCATTCTTTCTCCAATTTTTTTTTTTATATTTTTTTGCATCACTCGAACAGTCCCTTTTGACTTCATTAAACAGATCAATTTCCTGCCAATATTAGGTTGATAAATTGTTGTATTTAGTGATGATTTTGTTAACTTGTCGAGAATTTCTCATTTTAAATCTAATCATAAAATACTGGAATGTGTTTTTGAAATTATAGCAGATCTCTTAGACATCTAAGATATCCATTTAAGTTCTGTTAAAAAGGTAGGTTCTTCCAATCATTGGATCAATGAAATTTATAAACAAAGACATGTGACTTCTAGGAATTATAATTCGATGCACTATGGATAGTTGTCTTGCAATTCCTATGAAATATCGGGCCTTCCATCTTTCCTCTTATCAAAAGCATGACTAATTGGAATCATTCACCAAAATTAATTCCATTAAGCTTGTGTTGAGTAATTTCAAGAGATTGACCTTTATACAAGGGATGAAAATTTAATCCATGGACAACATTAGTGAAGGTGGCACTTCTCGTGGGGATGAGTTCCCAACTATCAGCCATTATGACATGCCATGGTCTCCACAGACTTTAGATTATCTCTTGAAACCTCTATGATACCAACAATAACAACAACAACAACAACAAACATTTATCCTACTATCGACTACATGAATCCTTTTTCTACATTGAGTATTGTTAAGAGTCAAATTCTCATTTAAATTTTAAAAAAAGGTTATTCTAATATTTTCTAATGAAGTCTTTTAAAATCTACCTCTGCCTTTCTTAATATAGCTCAAATCTAATACATCTACTCTCCTAAATGGGTCATTATAAGGCCAACATTTTATGTGTCAAAATCATCTAAGGCGACAATCTCTAATCTTATCTGCCACTGGAGCTACTCCAAACGTTCCACATACATACACATTTCACATTCTATCTACAAGAATGAAGCAACTCATCCACTTGAGCATTCTCATCTATGTAACACTTAACTTTATACTTCTCTTTTAATGGCCAATATTCTGCATCATAAAATATTGTAGGTCTCACCAACATCTTATAGAATTTTCCTTTAAATTTGAGGGGTACTTTTCTATCACACAATAGGCCCGACGAATTCTTCCACTTCAATCATCCAACTTAAATTCTACTAATGATATCCCCATCTATTTCAACATCAATTTGAAAAATAATAGATCCAAGATATCTAAAACATGTACTCTTATTAATTACTTGATCGCCCAAAGTCACAATCCCCCCACTAAATCTATTACTATTAAAATTACACTCTATGTATTTGGTTTTAGATCTACTCAAATGAAAACCTTTAGACTCTAAGGTTGACCTCTATAATTCAAGTTTCTTTCAGCTCCCTCTCTAGTCTTACCAACAAGAAAAATATCATCAACAAAAAGCATAAACCAAGGAACATCCTCTTGTAAATGTCTAGTAATAACATCCATGACTAAAGTTAAAAGATATGGGCTTCATGTTGATCTTTGATGCTGATGTAGACAAAGGGGGGGGGGGGGGGGGGTCACTCAAGCCCAAATAATCTTAATTTTTTGGCTTCCTCTGAGTTTACAACCTCAATCAAATCTGAGCTGGAATTTAGCTCATTTATGAGCTGGTCTTTAGTTCACTTATTGAACTAAGGGTTAGCTCATTATTAGCTAAGTTTTAGTTCATAGTTGTCTTTAATTAAATGTAATTTTTATTATTTTTATGTCTTTAATTAAGTTTGTCTCTTGGAATTCCAAAATGGCTTTTGGAATTCCAAGAAGTTTTGTTTCCCATACCATGGCTCCTTGGCTTCCACGGTGGGATGCTGTTTTCCGTGCATGGCCCCTTGGTTCTCAAGGTGGCTGTGGGTTTTCGAGCTGGGGGGGTTTTTCCGTGGCTTTGGCGCCTCGGTTCCGTGCGGCTCCTTTGGTTCCTGAGCTGGGCTATTTTTCCGTGAAAAGCATGGGGAGATTTCCGTGCTTGTGTTGCTTGGATTCTTGTGTGAATTCAATGTCGTGTCCTTTTGTATTCCCCCTTTCATACCTATAAATATGAGGGGTTTGTTATGTTTTGAAAAAGAGAATGATAAGTTATTTTTGGAAGCTATAACCTGCGGGTTTGCTTAGAGAAGCTTGCGAGCTTTGTCCATCTTCTTTTCTCATCCCCTCCGAAAATCTTGCGAGCTCTTTCCACCCTTCTTCTCAGCTTCTAACCTCTTTCATCTCTCCGCAAGTTTACACCCCACATGTATCCTGCTTCTCTAAGTGAAGCAAGTTTAGGGTGTCTTTGGTTTCGATTTGAGTTTAAAAGTCGTTTAATTACAATTTGTAGTTGTAGGTTTGTTTGTTTTAATATCTAAGTCTGTCTTAGATTTGAAATGTAAGAGTTTGTTCTTCCGCTCGTCGTATTCTCCCCTTTTTGAGCGCGTCGTGTCTTCCCTCCCCCTTTGTGCCGGCGGAGGTCCTCGGGTGCCCCATCCCCCGGATTTTTGTGCCCGCATCATTTGGTATCAGAGAAAGTTAGGAAGTCCTAGGTTTTAGATTTGGTTTGTCAAGTTTTGTTTTAGTTTGTCAAGTCAAGTCTTGTTGTAAGTTTTGTGAGTCTTAAGTTTTTTAGAATGGTGAGTCTTAAAAGAATTTTGAGTCTAAGCTTTTTAGATTGAGTCTTTTAAGTCTTTTTTGAGTTGTCTAAAAAAAATGAAAAAAAGACAAAAAAATTTGAAGAAAGCAATCCTGAAGAAATTGAAGATCCTATGGATAGATGGATTCCATCAAAGTCAACAAATCCTCTGGAGTATGAATTATACAAACTTTTATCATGGATGCACCTATGTACATAAAGGTAAATGAAGAAAAAGAAGCATTTACAAGATAAATTCCTGAAAGAACGAGATGAGATCATGCAGAAGTATGAAGATTTGATCAATGAATTGAATGCACCGTCTTCACCTCCTCGAAAGAAACCAAAAGCTAACTCGTCGGGAGATGAGTTCTCAAGAAGGGGAGTCTGATGTAGACAAAGAGGGGGTCAACTCAAGCCCAAAATAATCTGATTTTTGGCTTCCCTCGAGTTTACAAGCTCAATCAAATTTGAGCTGGAATTTAGCTCATTTATGAGCTGGTCTTTAGTTCACTTATTGAACTAAGGGTTAGCTCATTATTAGCTAAGTTTTAGTTCATAGTTGTCTTTAATTAAATGTAATTTTTATTATTTTTATGTCTTTAATTAAGTTTGTCTCTTGGAATTCCAAAATGGCTTTTGGAATTCCAAGAAGTTTTGTTTCCCATACCATGGCTCCTTGGCTTCCACGGTGGGATGCTGTTTTCTATGCATGGCCCCTTGGTTCTCAAGGTGGCTGTGGGTTTTCGAGCTGGGGGGGTTTTCCCGTGGCTTTGGCGCCTCGGTTCCGTGCGGCTCCTTTGGTTCCTGAGCTGGGCTATTTTTCCGTGAAAAGCATGGGGAGATTTCCGTGCTTGTGTTGCTTGGATTCTTGTGTGAATTCAATGTCGTGTCCTTTTATATTCCCCCTTTCATGCCTATAAATATGAGGGGTTTGTTATGTTTTAAAAAAGAGAATGATAAGTTATTTTTGTAAGCTATAACCTATGGGTTTGCTTGAAGAAGCTTGCGAGCTTTGTCCATCTTCTTTTCTCATCCCCTCCGGAAATCTTGCGAGCTCTTTCCACCATTCTTCTCGGCTTCTAACCTCTTTCGTCTCTCCGCAAATTTACACCCCACTTGTATCCTTCTTCTCTAAGTGAAGCAAGTTTAGGGTTTCTTTGATTTCGATTTGAGTTTAAAAGTCGTTTAATTACAATTTGTAGTTGTCAGTTTATTTGTTTTAATTTCTAAGTCTGTGTTAGATTTGAAATGTAAGAGTTTGTTCTTCCGCTCGTCGTATTCTCCCTTTTTGAGCACGTCGTGTCTTCCCTCCCCTTTGTGCCGGCGGAGGTTCTCGGGTGCGCCATCCCCCGGATTTTTTGCCCGCATCAGATGCAATCCAACTGAAATAGAAAAAGACTTGGTCAAACCTTGTGTTTAAACACAACTAACATCTTCTACATACATAACTTTAACTCCTTTCTCATGAACAAAATATAATTTTTAAGAGAAAATATTTTCTCTTCCATTTCTTTAGTTTGAGTGGAGGAGAATTTTGTTTAAAAGAAACATAAAGTTAGAACTTGAAGTTAATACATATGCCAATTATGCAGGTTAATTTGTAGACAAGTGATCCACCTTGGGATATTGCATCTTTCTTTGAAACAATCTTGTCACAAATGAAACTGACTTTACAGTTTCTACAGCATATATGTCTACAAGGGATCCACTAGTGGATGCCTTCACAAAAGAACTCAACAATGCATAATTTTAGGAGATTATTGGCAAGCTGATAATGAAAGCTACTTATTTATCGATTTGAGGGACTGTGTTGGAAAGCATGCATATGTTCCGGATATGACTGTCGAAATATATAGATTATGGCCAATATTGAAAATCATGATCTCAAAAATTAACGAGAAGGAAGAAAATCACGATCCATAGATTCATACCAAAAAAATCAATAACATTTTTATTTACATAAATATGCCTTTGTATGGGATTTGGTTAGAAAGTATTTAAAATGCCTTTTAATAAATTTATATGAAAATTTGACTATCAATAAGACATAATAGAGAAGAAAGATTCACGTAGCTAACCTTATGTAATGGGATAAACGGTTCTTCTTGTTGTTGTATTTATTTGTATGGTTGTAAATATTTTTTTATGTCATTCCTAGATCAATCTACATAGTGACTTATATCAAATACTTAGTCAAATAAGACAATTTTCTTCCTAGACTTGTGTTCTCCATAGTGCTATTGCTTCTTGAATGCCTTCCAACATGTACAGATCATATTTAATAAACAATTCTTACACGTTTTTTGCTTCCTACAGCAAAACCAATGGAACTGCTAAGAAGACCATCAATACCGCTAGCTCCCCTGTTTCCAGATACACGCAATCCCATGAATGCCAGATTGCAACTAGTTTCCATGAAAACAGAATCATGGTTAGGTTTCAGCCAGCCCTTTCCATACATGTCCATATCCCGTATGGCCATGCTATTCCCAATAAATAATGCAGTATCACCTCTAAGGACTTGTCCAACAAGATGTGCAACATATGGCTCGGTTAAAGAGATTTCAGAATATATTTGAAATGATATCTCCATTGCAACCTAAAGCAGTAAAGCAGTTAAGTTAATCAGTTACAATAGATGGAGAACAATGAAAACAACGGATAGATTTCAATTTTAAATAATACTAGCAATAAAAGTTTACCAGCAACAAAAACTCACAACATCAAGACTAATAAATCTGTATATATAGAACAGGAGTCAATTACTGACTGCTACAAAATAATATATTTGAAAGCAACATAGCTAACTAGATAAAGCAACCCATAAAACAACAAAATAAATACATTGGCCGAAGCATAAATATCTAAAATAGTCATTTAATTTTAATTAAAAAAGGTGCAGTAAATGACATAATTTCCACGAAGCATAATAAATCAGTTTATATTGAAATAGCATATTTGCTTGAAAATGCAGGTAGAAAAAAGCTATTAAAAATTTTATAGATGGAAATAAAAACTTGTAACATGTAAGAGAGAAAGGAAAACTGTCAATAGATACAACCTGTTAAATCTCAACCTCACGTTCCAAAAGAAATCCACGGCTGTGAACAGTAATCCGTGGGAAGACTACCTGGATAGCATTAATTCCTTCTATTGATTTAGGAATAATTGTATTCCCATTATTATAGAGTTATTTGTTTCCTTATCAATACATCTTGTATAGATCTATAAAAAGGGAGTAGATTGCATAATAAAATTCAAGCTTTTCCCTCTCAAATTCTCAGTTTTAACACTACCTAGAGTATTCCGGACCAATATTTCTATTGATTGTTTACCCAGCCGAAAATTATTAACAAACTACGTTCATTATTTTCAAACTTTATCATTGGACAGCAATTTGCAGGATGTAAGAATAGTGAATTTTCATATCAACAACTAGGTATTGTTCAGCTATAATAGATGATAAATAAATGGAAACTCCAATATTACTCCACAAAATTAGTCATTCAAAGAAGAACAAGTGAATAATAAAAAATGCTATTGAGATCGACAAATGCAAATTACAGGAAATGTGACATACACTTAACCATATGCTCATGTTTGAGAGATAAATTAAATGAAAGAGTTCTTTCACAAAAACAGGCTTAAAAAAAATTCTAACCATCAGATTTAATTCCTTTAAAAGCAGACTCCACTTCCTCCCTCTTTTTGGGCATTTGTCAACCAGGACAAGTTCAGTAAATTCAACAATGCTGCATTGAACCCTATGTGTGACAAGGTGAGAAGGATCTTGTCGATTGGGATGCTTGTCTACAAAGATATATACAAATGGAGAGCATGAGTCAAGCAATTGACTGACACGCTTACTTGTAATCCTGCTGCCAATCTGCAATAACATCTTGATATATCAGAAAAAACTATAACCTTTTTCCAAGGAAAACTAAATATTTAATGATGATAAATGAAATTTTTACTTCAAAATATTGTTGATTTAATACTCAATATACTTCCAAAATAATCCAAGGAATATAGGTAGAAATGAAAATTATATATATAAAGCACACAAGATGACAATCATGACAAACAATTATCAAGGAAAATAGCCAGCCTGCAGTGTCTGTTAAAATCTTGTTCCTGGATTATATTTTACCCTACCGTTCCCATTATAGGTTGCTATTAGAAATATTGGGCCCAAACTTCCATTGCCATTCTAAAGTTCGGATGAAAAATATTAAAGGTTAATGTTAGGATAGCAAAGCTTAGACCAAAATTTATTAAATGAATCCAAATTAGAATTTTACTTGCTAAGCATTCATTAGAAACCACATGCCACAACCTAAACTACTTGTGGAGAGGAGTCCAAGAGTAGGCAAAGGTTTGCAAAGACAGCCCACAACGGATGCACTACAAGAAACCAATTGCACAGAAAAGTAGTAAAGAGTTGGATTTGCTCACCCATAAATGGAGTGACCCAATTTAACATAAATGCACTAAAAAGTGACTTGGGACTGATTAAGGCTTCATTTGGGATGGCTTTTTTATTGCTTCTTAAAACAGCTTTCTAGTTTAAAAATTAAAATTTTCATACTAAAAAGCTGCTTTAAGAAGCAGTAAGAAAGCCGTCCCAAATGAAGCCTAAAACTAAAATAATGCTTAAATTTACTATTTGAAATTTGAGAACTTTAAATGGGAAGATTATAATTAATGGATCTAATGACTAAAAGAAGATTCAATACTCCTTTGTAAGAAATTAAATGGTGATACGAGAAAAAAGGTACATTGGATAAGGTATGAGAACTACATAATGGAAGGATGAGTAGAAAAAATGCGAGAGGGATAATAGTACATAGAGAGTCGGAAAAGAAAAATTATTAAGGTAAATGATATTTGTGATAGGGAGGTTTTTTTTAGATTAGTTACCAATGAAAATATTATATAAATAGTTAGTGCTTATGATTCCTCAAGTCATCTCAGAAGTTTGAAACATCATTTGTAAGAAGAGACTGATGAAAAATAACAATACATACCTATGGATGAGATTATATTCATTGGAGGTGAGAAAATGCACATATAGGTTCTGAAGCAAATCTCAAATTCTACAAGAACATCTTGAAAGATGAATTTTTAACTTGGTTTTAGCTTGTTATTATTATAGTATAAATTGTAATCTTAGTCAAACTTCATATGTTGACTAAATTTTAATCTTAGTCAAACTTCATAAATTTTAATCTTAGACAAAATTAAACACTACCATTGCCAGGTCCCAAGTCCTGGATGAGAAAAGTTGAGGGTTGCGTTAGGTAGTCGACAACCAGCGTAAAACTTGTCGAATAATAATGACATGAATCCTTTAAGAAATTGTGTTAATGCTAGAGCGTCCCCTAGAAACGACGCGCTGTATGGCCTGAATACAGTGACAAGTGTGCAAGGGCTGCTGCACCGACGCCCGGGTGCAGTGTTAAATAGGCAAGGGTTCCCACATCAACGACAGATGTAGGCAAAGAAGCTAGTCCATGAAACTAAAATTAGGATAGGAACTTGGAATATAGGTTCCCTTACTGGAAAATTAATAGAACTAATAGATATTATGATTCATAGGAAGATAAATATTTTGTGCATTCAGGAAACTAAATGGGTTGAAGAGAAGGTTAAGGAAATTGATAGTTTAGGATTTAAACTTTGGTATTCTGGTAGGAGTCGTACTAGAAATGGTGTAGGTGTTATCATAGATAAGAGTTTGAAGGATAATATTATAAAAATTGATAGGATTGGAGATAGAATTATAGTTTTAAAGATTGTTGTTGATGATAAGATTGTTAATATTATAAGTGATTATGCTCCTCAAGTAGGTTTGAATATGAGTTCTAAATTAAATTTTTGGAATGACTTAGAAAAATTATTACAAAAGATACCTCTAGAAGAAAGAGTTTTTATTGGAGGATATTTAAATGGACATGTTGGTAAAGAAGTAGATGATTTTAAAAGCATTCATGGTGGCTATGATTTTGGAATAACAAATGAAGATGGCAAGACCATTTTAGATTTTTGTTTAGCTTATGATTTTTCAATTGCTAATACCTTATTTAAGAAAAGGAATAAGCATCTCATCACTTATAAAAATGGATATAGTATAACCCAGATTGACTATTTTCTTACAAGAAAATTAAATCGGTTAGATTGCAAAGATTGTAAAGTTATTTCGAGTGAAAATTTATGTACCCAATATCGATTATTAGTTTTGGACTTTAAGATAAAGGGGCGGATAATAAAAAATAAAGTAAAACGATAATCTAGGATTATATGGGGGGTCGTAAGGAATCTAAGAAAGTAATATGCGATGCAAAGACCTTAGCTTTTAGTGATTTATATAATATATTAGAAATTAAGAAGGGAGAAAGATATATGTATAAGTTAGCCAAACAAAAAGATAGTAGTAAGAATTTAGTTCAAGTGAAGTGTATTAGGGATGAAGATAAAAAAATACTTTTTTAGAAGATAATATTCAACAAAGGTGGATGAGATATTTTGCTAAACTTTTTAATGAAAATTGTGAAAATAAGATTGACCATAGTGACCTTAGCACCCTAAATGAAAATAAATATTTCTGTTTTTATCGAGGTATTAGTAAAATCAAAGTTAGAGATGTTTTAAAAAAATGAAGGGTGGAAAAGCTGTTGGACCTGATGATATTCCAATAGAGATGTGGAAATGCTTAGGGGATGAAGGTATTTCTTGGCTTACTAAACTTTTTAATACTATTTTGAAGACTAAAAAGATGTCAGATGAGTGGGGAATGATCAAGAATAAAGGTGATGCACAAGATTGTGTGAACTATAGAGGAATTAAGTTAATGTGTAATACTTCTTAAACTATGGGAGCGAGTTATGGAGCATAGGTTGCAGCGCGATACTAATGTTTCTCAAAATCAATTTGGATTCATGCCGGATAGGTCCACTATGGAAGCCATACATTTATTAAGAGGTTTGATGGAGAAATAAAGAGAAAATAAGGAGGATCTACATATAATATTTATTGATTTAAAAAAGCATATGATAAAGTTATAACAGAAGTGCTATGGAGAGTTCTTGAAAAGAAAGGAGTTAATGCTTATATTCAAATCATTAAAAATATGCATGCAGGAGCGATTACTTATGTTCAAACACAAGGTGGTTTGACCTAGTAATTTCCCTATTTCGGTTGGGTTACATCAAGGATCAGCCTTAAGCCCGTATCTTTTTTCTTTAGTCATGGATGTTCTCAATAGACATTTGCAAGAGGATGTACCTTGGTGTATGCTTTTTACTGATGATATTCTTCTTGTTGATAAAATTAGAGAGGGAGTTGAAAGTAAACAAGAATTATGGAGGTCAACATTAGAGACTAAAGGTTTTCGCTTGAGTAGATCTAAAACGGAATATATGGAGTGTAATTTTAGCAGTAATAGACCTAGTGAGAGGATTGTGACTTTGGGCGATCAAGTCATTAATAAGAGTACACATTTTAGATATCTTGGATCTATTGTTCAGAGTGATGGTGAAATAAATGGGGATATTATCAGCAGAATTCAAGTTGGATGGTTATAGTGGAGGAATGCATCGGGCTTGTTGTGTGATAGAAAAGTACCCCTAAAACTTAAGGGAAAATTCTATAAGATGGTACTGAGGCATGCAATGCTTTATGGTGCTGAATGTTGGCCATTAAAAGAGAAGCATAATATTAAGTTAAGTGTGGTAGAGATGAGGATGCTCAGGTGGATGAGTGGCTTTACCCTTAGAGATAGGATACGAAATGAGCATATACGTGAAAAGGTTGGAGTAGCTCCAGTAGAAGATAAGATTAGAGAAAGTCGCCTTTGATGGTTTGGTCACATAAAACGGCGGCCTTCCAATGACCCGGTGATGTGAAACAACTAGGAGTTACCATTAGAAATTAGAAAGACAATTGAATAAAACTTTGCTCATAAAAAAATTTACCACTAGCACATAAAGAAGATTATGAATTTTAAGTTATCAACTTGCTTAGGCCAAAGATGTGCAATAGAGATTAACCAAACAATTCCATCAAAGTTCAAGGCAAGAGTAAATACTAAGTATAACATAATCCAACGTTTAACAACGAGAGGTTCACCTCAAGGGCCTTCTCACTCAACTACTTGTAGGCTTTAGCGGAAAAAGATGAACCATACGAAGAAGGATATTACCACTAGGAAGATGGCGCCAAAGACCTTCGTTGACGGATCGGTAGCCTGCGGTGATGAGGACGGTGGGTGGCCGACGATGATCCAATTTTAGTCTTGGAATTGATCGTCTAGAACTTCTACGAGAGTGGGAAGGATGCAGTTCAAATAGTCTTCAACAGTGTCGTCGAAGCCGAACCCGACGTCGAAGAACGATGAGCGGGTGATGTGGATGTCGTCGTAAGTGTCGAGCACAAATCCGCTGTCAATCTCGGGATCCGCCATGCATTCTTGCCGACGTTGAAAAAACACCAATAAGGAGAGAAGGAGAAGATGTGGTGAAGGAGAGCACTTGAGGTTTGAGAGGAAGGAAGAGGGAGAAGAGAGGGGCGGCGGGATCTCCAAGAGGGGAATTAGGTTTAGGCCAAGAGCAATAGATCTTTAATCCAAAAACCTGAGATCAATTTCAGGTTGAAGTGGATTTGGAGGGAAATCCAAATTGAAATGAGGTTCAAAGTTCAAATGAGGCTAAGGGAGTAATGGGCAATCAATGGGAGCCCATTAAGGGGGTGGCCGGCAGGTTCAAGAGAGAGGGAGGAGGGATTAATGCTAATCCTGAAATTAATTTCAGGATTTGAGGGGTTTTGTGGGGAAATTAATTTGAAATTTGAAAATGAAATTAATGAGAGAGAGGGCGAAATTAAAGTGGAATTAATGGGGTGGAGCCATAGGGGGCCGGCGGCTTGTAGAGGGGAAGAGGGGAGGGATGAAGGGGAATCAAGCTCTTTCCAAATAGGAACAAATAATTAGAGTGAAATTAATGAGTCCTCCAATTAGGTTTCATATGAATTTTGAGTTTGAAAACTTTTCTTATTTAGATTTCGCAAATAAGGAAACTTTTCGAATTTCAAAAATTTGAATTTCAAAATTCGATACTCTTGCATTTAATGCTAGACCTCAATCAAGGACCCATTGTGATGATTGACATCATCATCATGGTATGAGGCAAGCATGTGGCCGGCGGCCAAAGGAGGAGGAGGGGGATTTGTCGTCGGGTTGGGGGTCTTGATGGAGCTTGGGGTTGAAGTGAAGGAAGCTAGTGGGTGAAATGATGTGTGGGATACGAGAACGGAAGTGTGGTCGGCGACTATGGGAAGAGCTAGGGCCGGCGGGTTAGGGAAAGAAAGAAGAGCGGGATGAAGGGGATAGACCACAAGTCACAGACTCTTCCAATGACTTGCGGGTATTGCTTTTGCCCTCACCTTGGGCTCTCGTTCTCCTCTCAAGTGCACCACAAGAAGAAGAAGAAGATAACAATAACAAAATTTCATTCAAATATTCATTAACCCATTATAACATATGAGACCACTATATATAGGTCTCCACTCATGAAAAGAAAAAGTACGAAATTGTCCTCTGGGCTACAATAACAAACAACTCCCCAAAGGGGTAAAAATGGAAAACAGCAAATAACTAAATAACACATCATGAAATCTGAGTCAAAAGTAGAGGCGCTGAATCGTGGCCGTAGATCTGCGATTCCTCCGTCGATAAACATGTCGATAGCGTCTGTCGATGTCCTCATCACCAGGTTAGGAGAGTAGAGGTATTAGATTTGACTTATGTTAAGAAAGGTAGAGGCGGACCTAAAAAGACCTAGTTAAAAAATATTAGGAATGACCTTTTTTTATTAGATTTAAATGAGAATTTGACCTTTAATAGGACACAATGGAGAAAAAGGATTCATGTAGCCGACCCCACGTAGTGGCATAAAGGCTTGATGTTGTTGTAGTTGTTGTTGTCAAACTTCATATGTGAATGATGTTGCCTCAATCTGATATGTGCAGGTATCCTTATTCCCTACAATTTTCTAAGACTCCTAGGATTCTCTATTTAATCAATTTCCCTAGATTTTATGTTTGGTTTAATTTTGTCACTTTTTGGTTGGCAAATCAATGGCTTCTATGCCATTATATCTCTGCTTTTTTTTTGGAGATACATGATGGTTGTTTGGTGCTTCCTTGTTCTATTGCTCCTGCAATTCTTTGGTTTGATGGGTTCTGTTTAACACCTTTGGTGATTCTATTTGTTGATCTATAATAAATAAATAAATAAACATTCCCTCTCCTTGCAACCCATCTGCATGTTGCCTGTGCCCATCCCGCATGCCTCCATTACAAAAACCCCAGTCCAATTGAACATTCCCTTCCTCTCATCACTCTCACTTCCCCTCTCATCTCACCCACACTCCCCCTAGGTCCTCTTTTCTCTCTCTCTCAATGTAGACTCCGCCAATTCACCCAATCCCAACACCATTGATCACCCAACCCAGCATTGACATTCCCTTTGTCCCTCACCCTGGGTCTACAAGATTACTTTCGAAGATGTAAGTCATAGCTACAAACAAAAATCCTTCAAAAAAATTGGGTGGACTCCCTTTGTTGACTCACTTAATCAAAGTCCATGACAACCTAGGGCAATGGAGTAATGGATTCATCATCATTTCTCTCACCATTCACTCTAAGCTAAAAGTGGTATATTTTATGTCTTTAAACTAAAAATTGTTACTATTATAAGTTATGTATTTAGTATCTATTAATTAGCCTTAATAAAAAATTGTCTCTCTTGACCAAGAGGGTTAATTAATCATAGTAGCTTGCGCATATGAGAAAACTCGAATCACATCATAAAGTCCTTGTAAAATGAGAGTAAAATCTATATAAAGTTTTTTATATGATAATCTATCTTCTAAAATCTATATAGAGTTTTTGAAGCCTAAAATAACATGACAAGATTCGGAGGAAAATGATTAAGTGTTTCATTAAGTCATTTGTGCAATTTTTATACAATCCTTAGAGAGTTTCTAATAATAAACATATAAATTTTGGAAATAATAATTATAATAATTCACAAATTGATGAAATAGCGGACTGATAATTATAGAATAATTATAATTGGCCACGAATTGATGAGTGGCACTAATAATTTCATGGTTCATTAAGGTGGCATGAAGTGAATAAGGAAGGTGGATTGCTGGGCTCAGTGGAATATCGATGAAGGCATAATTAATAGAGACGGATTAGATGGAAATTAATTTATCCATAATAATGAATGATATATACTTCACATTAAATGTTACTTCCCCCAGTTACGGACAACCAAACATTTCTTTATTGTGAAGAAATTACCAAACCCAAAAACTCACATTAAATGTCACTTCCCCAGTTATGGACAACCAAACATCCCTTTATTGTGAAGAAATTACCAAACCCAAAAACACACAGTATGCCGATATTACCTTGTTCAAATTAATGAATAAAAAATTAAAAGCATGGGCTAACTAAAAACTGCAGGAATAGAATCTATCCTGACATCTCTGTATTTAATGCACATGTTATTGTTGCAGCGGCTGCATAAGCATAACAGTCAATTGTTAAAAAAATAATCTAGCATAGCTTAGTGATATCACACCTGAACCACCACATCTGGTTGTAGCCAGCTCTTGACAGATTCTGATAGAAGAACATGATCTAAATGATCAAGAAATAGAAAGTCATCTTCAATACCCGGGCATGAGGTCAGTAGTTTGCGCAATCGTAGACCTGAGAGAACATCAGGAACAACTGGCCAGGACAGGTGTTTGGCTAAAAGAAGTGCAGCCCAAATTTCATCATCAGTGTTTATAGCACCAAGTAGCAGTAGGCCTTGGTTAGCATTATGTATCACATCTAGAACCTTGGCCATCTGATCATAACAATGACCCCAGGCATGCTGAATTTTTATGTATTGGGTAAAAGGTTCTTCCTTTGACATCCATAAATCTAGTCCTCTCAAACAATCAGTAGCCCATTCTTTAGGAACATCTTCCAGTGGCTCCCTGAAAGGGCAGTTAAGATGTACAGGGCCACATAAGGATTGAGTTGCACTATATACGGCAGAATCAATGGTTGTGAGGACCATTCTTGCAGGGATTTGATCAGAAGGTGGTGGAAAGCTGTAGAAGAACCTCACAAATTTTCCAAAATGATTGACCTTGGTGGTAATAGAATGGATATTAGTGAGCATTCTATCATTATGAAGGTAATAAGAAACTAAACTGGACAAACTGGCAGAGGATAGACATTTATTTTGGGTCTAAAATGACTATTGAAGCTTCAGAACACATCTAACATCATAATTGCTATAAATCCACGTGAAAATAATCTAGCAGAATGGATATATAAATACAACACGCTTAGCATACATTTTCATTACAAGAGCATCTAGGTTGAGGTTAAAAGAATTTTTAGTTTTATCTTTGGGTTATATTATATTAAATTATCAGTCTGCACTAAATTTCAGTCATCTCCTTCTGGCCTATATTATAACTAATTGGATATTCAACAACTTGTAAAAGAATGCCATATAAACACCTAAAAACATTCCTTACAAGCAAAAGTTCTAATTTATAAGACCAATCAAAACAAGTCACAAAGATGACTCAACAACAACAGAAAAATAAAACACATGGAACAAGTATAGCACCTGATCGATGGCTTGGTTAGCGCCAACATCCTGTAGTTCAGGAGGCCTATCAGCTGTAAGCATAAGGAGAGGCACAAAATCCTGACTAGCTTCCACAACCTGCAAACAAAACCTTATCAATGAAATATTCTTAAAACCTTATCAAACTAGCAGTTGGTCAGTAAGAATTACTTTTTGAGTTGCATTGAAACATGGGTTACTTTCAAATATTGTTAAGTTTCTATCAACTTTATAAAAAAATAAAATAACCATCACAAGTGTTGAACAAAACCAAAAAAAAAAATTTTGAGCTAGAGAACTAATCAAATTTGAAACAACTCCACTTATGAATGTCCGCTCAAGTTAAACAAAATCGGTCAAACAAACAACTTCACATAACAAAGCAAACACAAGGAAAATAGGGGTGACGCATTTAAAGGTTTTTTTTTATTCCAAGTTTATCAAAAAGTTCAGCAAAAAAATTGAAAATTTGCTCACCGCAGGAAACAGATTTGACACAGCAGTTCCTGATGATGTTATAATAACCGCAGGCTTATGCGATCCCCTTGCATACCCAAGAGCATGAAAGGCAAGTGAACGCTCATCATAACAAGATATGCAAGTAGTAAGAGAATGGCTACAAGCAGAAAGTGCAAGTGGAGATGATCTTGAACCTGGAGCTATACAGAAGTACTAAACCGAAGTAGAGGTTAAAATAAATTCATATTCAATTTATAAACTGCATTCTGAAACCCACCTTCAAACCAAGCCGGACACATTCTTCGACTATAAGTGATGCCCATAAAAGATTGATGTTTGTGCACTCCTTTATCTTACTTGTCCCATGAGGAAGTCTGAACTGTCAGTAGAATAAATAAAAAGATAAATTAATGAGAAATAATAAACTCAGCAACTAAATTTAAAGAATTGTATGAAACTCATAACATATAAAATTCCGTCTCAAAACAGAAAAAATATTCTTCGTATCTTTATATTTTTAAACGTGTGAAATAAATATGATTCTGACTAACAATTCACCAAGGCATTGGGATCAAACCCATGACAACATGACGCAAAAAATACATGTACAAGAAGCATACTATCTCTAGTTCAATGAATACAATTATTGAGCATAGATATTATTATTATTATGAATCATATCTCCTAAATGACTTTGACTAAAAAAATGGTTTTAGATAAGAACCGCTTCTTCATTTAAATCTAGCAAGTTATTTACGTTATTGCATACCATGTTCTTGCTGACAATGACTGTTGTTGAATTCCTATAATAAGATTTGTCAGTACCTGTGAGCTCTTCCTGCAGTGGAAAAGATGTAAGTTAATTAGTAGACTGACCCAATCCAAAGTATACCCGTAATTCATAGACAATAGATTTTGAGAGTTGGGTATTTTAAACACATCACTGTTATGTTTGACAATGATAGTACAAGTGTACGACAGTGCAAAAATAACAGAAATCTATAATATGGAATGGTAGGAAAAATTTTCCCAATTTACATAAGATTAAGAATTACCAATGAAGAAAATCTCCCACTGGCGTGCATTTTTTGGAGAGTTTCAGCGTTTATGTGCACCTAAAAAACTTAAAGAATTGAAATATTACAAACTTCAAATAAAAAAATAAATAAATACTTAGGAGTAAAATTATCTATGAGCAAACATCTGAGGTAATGTTTCACATATATTGTGCATAGGTTGCAAATTTATAGCACAATGTATATGTTATATGCAGACTGCAAATTTTGGCAGGAACATTGCGCCACACTGTCTATTTAGCAGACTATCTTCATTAAAATGTATGCACTGTAGATGTTATGTAGGACTAAATGCTTTTTAAATGGATGAAATAAGAATATTGCACTATTCCTTGTCTAGAACAATAATGATGAAACCATTAGCAGCTAAGACGACGAAATAAAACAAGAGAAGGGTGTCTACGCTTAGGCTAAGCCACTTGCTAAACACTTGAAAAATCAAACTTAAAAACTCAACAACATGCTAAGATAGTAGGCTTCAACAACATCCCTGATCTAACAATAAGATTAGAAGCAAATAAAGTGCACTCAATCCCTACGTTTACTAAGCTCGACAGAGTTTGATGAGCAAGATCTTCATGAATCTATCGAATCACAAGAATAAGTTAGACAATGAAAATACGAGAAAAGGGAGATTTGTAAACCCTTATCACGGTTGAGATTCAATCCTTCGCTGAACGGCGCCAAGTTTTTCTTCAATGGCCTCGACAAGGGTGTCCAAAATGCGCTCTACGTACTCTTCGACGGTGTTGTCGATGCGAGGGTTGACATCGAAAAAGGTCAAGTGAAGGATGCAAACAAACCCTTGCTCGTCGTAGGCGAGACCGTAATCAAGATCCGAATCGGCCATGCATGGCCTTTGGAGGATGAGATGTTGAAGACGATTGTTGATGCTTCCCTTGAAGACTCTTCTTGAGATGGAGGAGATAATCTAGAGAAATCAAGAGGGGGAAAGGATTAAAGCTGGCCTACCAATGATGAGGGCAAGGGTAAGAGATTTGGTTCAGATTTTAGAAGAGGAGATGGAGGGAATTCTAATTCAACACTTCCTAATTATCCTCTTAATTGAGAATAATTAAAGGAAGGAGAAAGGGAAAAAGGGGGGGGGGGGCAAGGGGAAGGGAGAGAGGGTTAATTTAATTCCATTAGGAGATACTCCCTTTTTGGAAAGAAATTAAATAGATGGGAGCATGGGGATTTTGGCCAAGGAGGGAGTATGAGATTTGGAATTATTTCCAAAGTAGAGAATTGGGTTTTAGGAAAGAATTCCTATTCTAATCCTATAGGGGGGCCGGCGGCAACAATGGGTAGAGAGGGATTTATGGCAAGTGTTTAATGCTTGCTTAAATTTGAGAACCTAAATTAGGGAAGAGAAATTAAATCCCCTTTAATCAAATATTAATTTGAGGATGAGGTTTAAAACTTTCTTAAAATAGATTTTGTATTTTAGGAAAGATTTTGAATTTCAAATCACTTGGATTTGAATTCAAAATTTATTCCTAATTTTACTCAATCTAAATTAGGTAACAAGAAAAGAAAAAGGGGGGGAAGGATTCAAAGGGGCTGGCGGCTAGGGTGAGTGTGGCCGGCGGCTAGGGTGAGTGTGGCCGGCGGCTAGGGTGGTGGGGTGTGGTTGATTGGATGAAATGGAGAGGGGTTCGGTGAGGGTGGAGGCTTGGCCGTGGGTGGGGAAAGGGAAGTAGGGCCGGCGGAGGTGGTGGGAGGAAGGGGAAGAGATAGAAAGTATAACCACGAACCCAACTCGTCTAGGTTGATGGGTGATGCGTAATTCTCCCTCTCCTAGGGATCTCACTCAAATCTCTCAAGCTCTCATAAGAACTCAAACAAAGAGAAGAAATTTTCTTAATCAATCATTCATTAGATTTAGAAGAAGAACATGAGGGCTATAAATAGCCACGTACAAAAGACTCAAGAAATAAAAGGACGACAATGCCCCTAAGGCTTACATACGACATCCCTTAAGAAAAGTGTAAAACGGGAAAACAAATACACATAAATAATAAAAGCTGCATAACATAATAAAAGAAAACAAATACATGAAATGACTCAAAATACATAGACTCGATCGTGGTCGTAGATCGACGGCCACATCTCTGATAAACTTTCCATGCTCTGATGTACCCCATCAAGATGACTAAAATCATTTCAGTAAAAATTTTATGAAAGCAACCTAAACCAGCAAAAAAGAAGTAACTCCGAAGTATTTATAGAATGAAATTTTCTACATACCACCATCTTAAGAGGGCAATTTGTTCACATTGAAACCATCATTTGTTTGATTTATAAATTTATCATTGATTGTAGAATGACTTTATCCCAAAAGGTAAAATATATGATTTGTGTAATGGCTCAAAAACACAGAACATAGCAGATTTGATTGAGATGCCTTATTTCTTCGTTAGGATCAAAAGAAATATTTCAGATGGGATAAAAAAGAAACATATCAACTCCTCTAAATCCACTGATGTCCCTCCTCTCTTCAGCCCTAAAGCGACGATGCAATACTGACATTGCCAAGAATAAAAAGCTTGACTTGAGTCTGCCAGGAAACATTATCTTAACAAGAAGCTACATTCTTAGCCTAAATAGCTACCATTTTGTTAATTTCCTGAAGTGAACAGAAATGAACTGGAAAGTAAGATCTGTTAAGGACGCCGTAAATACATAGAATAAGACGCTTCTGAAGACTTAGTTGATTTGATCTACTTTCTTTAAACTCTACTTGATGCACTTCCATGTTCGCTTTTAGCTGATGCCACATTTTTATATTCTTATCTCCAATCAATACAGCATAGAAAGTTGAAGCATGATTCTTCCAAAAGAATCTCCAAGTAATTTCTGCGAAAAAACATTTCAATTTTCGTCATACATTGCATCATATAGCCCTGAGTTTCCAACTTCCTACTACAAATGATAATTTCATCTGGCATATAAAATCACAAGTTAAAATAAATTATATAACAAATCCTTAATCTCTTCAATAGTCTAATTCATAGCAGCAAAACTTCAAAGAGTTATATAATGAAAAAATGTATACCATTTTAAAGTCCTCCTTCCCTTCAATGCCTGATTGACCTTCAAACCAGTTCCACTTGTCAACAACGAGAGTGCTCGCAGAGGAAACATGGACATTAATCTGCAAATCCAGTTTGAATGTTCATAATTTAGAGAGTGTGCCAATGCATAATCTGTAGAAGCATAGGCTAAAAGGTTACCAGCTAAAGAAGATCAATAAGTCATTTAACGACATCATATCTATAATACCATTAAAAATGGTGCATGACACTTTGCCCAAACAAAATCAAGACCCTTCATCCATTTACTACAACAACAACAACATCAAGCTTTTATCCCTATATGGGGTTGGCTACATGAATCCTTTTTCTCCATTGTATCATGTTAAGAGTCAAATTCTCACTTAAATCTAATAAAGAAAGGTTATTTCTAATATATTCTAACCAACTCCTTTTAGGTATACCTATACTTTCTTAACATAAGTCAAATCTAATACATCTACTCTCCTAACCGGATCATTAGAGGGTCATCATTTTATGTTAACAAACCATTTAAGGTGACTCTCTCTACTCTTATCTTCCACTGGAGCTACTCCAACCTTCTCACGTATATGCTCGTTTCGTATCCTGTCTCTAAGAGTAAACCCACTCATCCACCTGAGCATCCTTATCTCTGCAACACTTAATATTATTATATTTCTCTTTTAATGGCCAACATTCTGCGCCATAAAGCATTGAAGGTCTCACCACAATCTTATAGAATTTTCCCTTAAGTTTGAGGGGTACTTTCTATCACATAACAAGCCCGATTCATTCCTCCACTTCAACCATCTAACTTGAATTCTACAAATAATATTGATGTAATCAAAAAATAAGGGAGACCCTTATTTTTTTATCAACAAAAAGACAACTCTTCTAGGAACAAAATAAAAACATAAAATGCTTAAAAGAACACAAAGACTATAAAATACAACTTTATATAAAAAGACTTACAATCATTGACTCTTACAAACTTGACTCAAACAAACCAGACTCAAACAAGACACCATAAACTTGCTTCACTTAGAGAAGAAGGATACAGATGGAGTGGCACTTGCGGAGAGACGAAAGAGGTTAGAAGCCAAGACGAAGGTTGGAAAGAGCTCGCAAGATTTCCGGAGGGGATGAGAAAGAAGACAGACAAAGCTCGCAAGCTTTTCCAATGAAACCCGCAGGTTTACATATCCAAAAATCACATATCATTCGCTATTTTTAAAACATAACAAGCCCCTCATATTTATATGTATGAAAAGGGGAATACAAACAGACACGACAATAAATTTTCACAAGAACCCAAATATCACAAGCATGGAAATCCCCCCATGCTTCATGGAAAATAGCCCAAGCCCAGGAACCGAAGGAGCCACCACGGGAACCAAGGAGGCCGCACGGAACCAAGGCGCCAAAGCCATAGGAAAACTCCCAGGCTAGGAAAACCAGCAGCCAGTCGAAAATCCAAGGGGCAAAGGCACAAAAAACAATAACCCATGGTGGAAGCCAAGGAGCCACACATGGGAAACAACCCTTCTTGGAATTACAAAAGCCGGTTTGGAATTCCAAGAGACAAACATAATTAAAGACATAAAAACAATAAAAAGTACATTTAATAAAAGATAACTATGAACTAAAATATTAGCCAATAATGAGCTAACCCTTAGTTCAATAAGTGAACTAAAGACCAACACATAAATGAGCTAAAATTTCAGCTCAATTTTGATTGAGCTTGTAAACTCGAGGGAGGCTAAAATTGATTTATTTTGGACATGAGTTGACCCCCACTTTTGTCTACATCATACTCCCCTTCTTGAGGACTCAGCTCCCGATGAGTTAGTTCTGGTTGTTCTTGAGGAGGTGGAGACAGAGCATCCAGTTCTTTGATCTTTTCTTCAAATTTCTTTAAAATTTCTTCCTGTTCCTTCTCGAACTGTTGTTGTAGATATCTTTTCCACTTCTCGAAATTTTGATCACATAGGAACATGTGATACTGAAGCTTGTATAAACGGCCTTGAAGCGGATCAGTTGAATCACCTTCTGTAGGAATCCATCTGTCCAACGGGAGAGGGACATCAGGATTGTCATGATCGTTTTCTTCCATGAATGAAGCTTTTTTTTTCTTTTTTTCCATTATTTGACCGACTCAAAAAAAATAATCTAAACTTAAACTTAAGACAAGACTAACGACAGGACTTGACTTGACAAACAAAATAAAACTTGACAAACCAAAATTTGACGAGCAAATCCTAAGACTTCCTAACTTGCTCTGATACCAAAATGATGCGATCAAAAAATATAGGGGACCCTATATTTTTTATCACAAAATACCCAAAAAAAGAAGAGATAACTTAGAAATTTTAGAACAAACTCTTACATTTCAAATAAAAGTAAGAAGAAGAAATTAAAAGACTACAAACGACGATTTAACAAACTCGACTCGCAATTAAAAGACACCCTAAACTTGCTTCACTTAGAGAATAAGGATACAGATGGAGTGGCACTTGTAGAGAGACGAAAGAGGTTAGAAGCCAAGACGAAGGTTGGAAAGAGCTCGCAAGATTTCCGGAGGGGATGAGAAAGAAGACGGACAAAGCTCGCAAGCTTTTCCAACGAAACCCGCAGGTTTACATTTCCAAAAATCATTCACATAACATAACATTACAACTCTTAAACATCTCATATATATAGGTATGAGAAGGGAATACAAAAGGACACGGCATTGAATTTACACACGAATCCAAGCAACACAAGCACGGAAATCCCCCCATGCATTCATGGAAAACAGCCCAGCCCAGGAACCGAAGGAGCAACCACGGGAACCAAAGGAGCCGCACGGAACCGAGGCGCCAAAGCCACGGGAAAACCACCCAAGTTCGGAAAACCAACAGCCACCGTGAGAACCAAGGAGCTTTGCACGGAAAACAGCCACCCGTGGAAGCCAAGGAGCCATGGCAAGGGAAAACACATTTTCTTGGGATTCCAAAAGCCATTTTGGAATCCCAAGAGACTAACATAAATTAAAACATAAAAACTATAAAAATTACATTTAATAAAAAAATAACTATGAACTAAAATATTAGCTAATAATGAGCTAACCTTTAGTTCAATAAATGAACTAAAAACCAGCTCATAAATGAGCTAAATTCCAGCTCAAAATTTATTGAGCTTGTAGACTCAAGAGAAGCCAAAATTGATTTATTTTGGACATGAGTTGACCCCCCCCTTTGTCTACATCAGACTCCCCTTCTTACGAACTCATCTCCCGATGAGTTAACTTAAGATTTGACTACTAAGACTCAAATGACAACATGACTCAAAACTATTATGAAACTAAAACTCACTAGACAAAAACTTGACAAACCGACTCACAAACCTAGGACTTCCTAACTTGCTCTGATACCAAATGATGTAATCAAAAAATAAGGGGGACTCTTATTTTTTTATCAACAAAAAGACAACTCTTCTAGGAACAAAATAAAGACATAAAATGCTTAAAAGAACACATATACTATAAAACACAACTTTATATAAAAAGACTTACAACCATTGACTCTTATAAACTTGACTCAAACAAACCAGACTCAAACAAGACACCCTAAACTTGCTTCACTTAGAGAAGAAGGATACAGATGGAGTGGCACTTACGGAGAGATGAAAGAGGTTAGAAGCCAAGACGAAGGTTGGAAAGAGCTCGCAAGATTTTCGAAGGGGATGAGAAAGAAGACGGACAAAGCTCGCAAGCTTTTCCAATGAAACTCGCAGGTTTACATTTCCAAAAATCACATATCATTCACTATTTTTAAAACATAACAAGCCCCTCATATTTATAGGTATGAAAGGGGGAATACAAACAGACACGACAATAAATTTTCACAAGAACCCAAACATCACAAGCACGGAAATCCCCCCATGCTTCACGGAAAACAGCCCAAGCCCAGGAACTGAAGGAGCCACCACGGGAACCAAGGAGGCCGCACGGAACCAAGGCGCCAAAGCCACGGGAAAACTCCCAGGCTCGGAAACCAGCAGCCAGCCGGAAATCCAAGGGGCAAAGGCACAAAAAGCAATAGCCCATGGTGGAAGCCAAGGAACCACACATGGGAAACAACACTTCTTGGAATTCCAAAAGCCGGTTTGGAATTCCAAGAGACAAACATAATTAAAGACATAAAAACAATAAAAAGTACATTTAATAAAAGATAACTATGAACTAAAATGTTAGCTAATAATGAGCTAACCCTTAGTTCAATAAGTGAACTAAAGACCAGCTCATAAATGAGCTAAAATTTCAGCTCAATTTTGATTGAGCTTGTAAACTCGAGGGAGGCCAAAATTGATTTATTTTGGACATGAGTTGACCCCCATTTTGTCTACATCAAATATCCTTATCTATTTCACCATCACTATGAACAATAGACCCAAGATATCTAAAATGTGTACTCTTATTAATGACTAGATTGCCCAATGTCACAATCCTCCCACTGGATCTATTACTACTAATATTAAACTCCATATATTCAGTTTTAGATCTATTCAAACAAAGACCTTTAGACTATAAGGTTGACCTCCATAATTCAAGTTTACCTTCAACTCCCTCTCTAGTTTTGTCAACAAGAAGAATATCATCAGCAAAAAGCATACATCAGGCTACAACCCCTTGAAAATGTCTATTAACCCTTCATTCAATTAGATCATATAAAATCTTAATCATGTCTCTAACACTCAATAAATGAAGAGCTCATAAATTTCTATAAAGATAAAAATTTTCAATTTTCAACTAGATTCATTTTATCTATTGAAGGCATATTTATACAATCATTATAAATTTAAAATTAATAACAATTTCAAAATTAAAAAAAAATTAAAGAAAATAGTTTAGTTCTAAAGACAATTGCTTTCAATTATTTAACTTTTTTATCGCCAAAAAATACAGTTTTTAAAAAGTCAACATGTGCTTGAAAAAATAATAAATTTCACTTGCATCGGCTTTTATCTGTTCAAAACATATTTATATTATTACAGATAAAAATATAATTAATGAATACTTGTTATGATTTAAGGCATAAGTTTAATTTCAATGATTTAAACA